TCTCAACAGTCTTCTGATGCTCTCCAATTTTGTATCCACCTACCTAGCACTGGACTGATTTTCCAAGATGTCTGGTTAACCTAGGCTGATCAATGGGTAATGAGAGAAGTATGTCAAATTAATCATTCCCTTTCCTAAGGATAACTAAAACATGAAAGCCATCTTTCTCTATTTTATTACGATTGCCACTCATCTCCTAAACATTTATGTGGTGATAGAAGGCATTACTAATACATTAGACTTTTTCACATGTGGATTGAATAAAGAAAAACAATTTCTTTTTCAAAAAAATCATAAAAGATTCTTTAACACATCCTTTCCACTTGTACGTCTGCAAATGCTCTAAATGGCAAGACTATGACTTAAAGGGAAGCATAGTTTAAACCCTATATGAAAATAGAAATGAGTTACTAAAAGGAGATTTGTTATGTAAAAGTAAAAAAATAACATCAATGACTTTTTTCCTATTCTATCTTCAATACACCAAAGATTATCACTAAAATCTACATCACAGAAATTCTGGACCTATCATAAAATAGCATTCTGTATACTTGAAAAACACATAATATATTAAAGGAAGATAGATAGGGAAAGAGAAGAGAAAGAAAGAAAGGTAGGAGAAGGGAAAGAAAAAAAGGAGAAGAAATAAAATGAAGCTGATATAATTACTGACATGAAAACATTTAAATAATCTCCAACTTTATCCTCTTAGTCTCTTTTTTGAGCTCTATTAATAGCTGGAATATTCAAGCTGAAGATTAGGATTCTGCATCCAGTCTTACATAAATACTCTCACTAGTTCTAGGTATACTGTTTGGCTTGTTTTTATATCATCTGCCCCAGAAAATGGTATAAAACTGACATGTAATAGGAATTTTTATTAAGTCTTTAGAAGTTTTGTCAACACATATTAACATCCTGGTGATCAAACTAATTATCCTCTCTCATTCTGACTTATGGTACCATGTCACTGAAACTGCTAGTGAACCAGCTTCCCTACCAAACATAGCAGTTCTTCCAGAGATATGCCAGAGAGTACCTTTACTGACTCCTACCAGCAAGTTTCCAGAATAGGGTCCAAAATAAGCAGGACGTGATTCTGAAACCAGAAAATGACACCACAAAAAAAGAAAACTACAGGCCATTTTCTTCAAAGAACATAGGTGACAATGCTCAACAAAATAGTAGCAAACTGATTCAATAATACATTGAAAGAATCATACACATGATCAAGTGGACTTTATTCCAGAGATGCAAGGATGGTTCAACAACCTATAAGAAACAACAAAATCAGTCTACTGACAGGGAAATTACAGCAATACAGGCCAATATCAAGAAACAAAAACAAAGTTCAAGTAAATAATCTAATTTTATATTGTAAGTTTCTAGAAAAAGAAGAACAAATAAAACCAGTATCAGCAAGAGGGAAGGAAACAATAAAGAAAAACATCAACAAGAAGAAAGGAAATAATAAAGACTAGAGCTAAAATAAATAAAATAGATACTGAAAGCTAGTACAAAAAAAATCAGTGAAACCAAGAACTGATTTTTTTTAAAAAAGACAGACAAAATAGAAAAACTACTACTTAGGTTCACTAATAAAAAAAGAGAGGAAATTCTAATAATAAATGGAAGCAGAAATAAAAGAGAAGTTACAACAGATGTCTCAGAAATACAGAAGATCATAAAAGACTGCTATGAACATCGTTATGCCAATAAATAGGGCAACTTAGAAGAAATGGACAAATTTTTAGAAGCATACAATGTGCCAAAGACTGAATCAGGAAGAAATAGAAAACATGAGCACACCAATTATAAGCAAGGAAAATGAAACAACACTCAAAAGTCTCCCAATAAAAAACAAAAGTCCAGGACCAGATGGTTTCATTAGTGGGTTTTACCAAATCTTCAAAGACAAATTAACACCTATCCTTCTCAAACTCTTCAAAAAACATTGAGGAAGAGAAAATGCCTCTAAACACATTTTATGAGGCCAACATATTCTGATACCAAAAGCTAACAAGGATACCACAAAAAAGAAAATTATAGTACAATGTCCCTGATGAATATAGATGCAAAAATTCTCAACAAAACCTTAGCAAACTGAATTCAACACGGTAATGAAAGAATCATACACATCATGATTAAGCAGTACTTATTCCAGGGATGACGGATGGCTTAACATATGCAAATCAATTAATGTAATCCATCACATGAACAAAAGATAAAAATCATGCAATTATATCAATAGACACAGAGAAAGTCTTTGACAAGTTTCAACATTCATTTATGACCAAAAAGTCTCCAATAAATGGGGATAGAAGGATTATATTTTAACATAATAAACACCATGTATGACAAACCCATAGCTAACATCATAGTTAGTGGTGAAAAACTGACAGCTTTCCCTCTAAGATGAGGTACAGGACATTATTACTATTCAACATAGCATTGGCAGTCTTAGCTAAAGCAATTAGTCAAGAGAAGGAAATGAAAGGAATCCAAATTGGGAAAGAGAAGCAAATCTATCACTATTTGCAGATGACATGATAATATATACAGAAAACCATAAAGACTCCACTAAAAAATTATTAGGAACAATAAATCATTACAGAGAAATGGCAGGCTACAAAATCATCATACAAAATTTGGTTGCACTTCTATATACAAACAATACAAATTAGGGAAAAGAATACAATGGTACAGTGAAAGATAGAACTGGATATTTAGTGAACTTAATGCACTATAAACATATGCTAATTTTCAATGCTACACACCTGAAACTTACACAATATTAAAATGCATTGTTACTTCAATAAATAAAATAACAAAGGTGAGTAGGACAGAAACAAAGTACTGGGAGGGTTCATCATCCAGTGGCCTCATTTGTATGTTCTGTAAACCCTTTCTCCAAGGTCATAGGGAACAATCCAGAAATGCAGTCCTCAACTTGGCAGAGTTAATATCTTCCCCAGAGCAGAGTTTAGTGTCTAAATGGCCAGTGACTAAAACAGCTGCTGCTCTAATTCACATTTTGAAAAGAGTGCGGTTTTAGAAAAATGACATGTTCAGTAGTAATTTCCACCCCATGAGCCTGAGAGCAAAATCAGTAAAATATTAACCAGCCCACTGATTTACCACTGGATCTTTTACTCGTCAAAGATCTTTGTTTGAGATGTTTTTCTTCATTATGAACAGCAGAACCCAAAAGACACAACCTGACATAGTTCAAATGCATTTTTTAACCTCCCTCCCCAAATCAAACCACAGAGAAAATAAAACTTCTACTTTTCCCCATTAATGAATATCCTGGAATTTAGCATGAAATTTCCCTTTCTAAAATGAACCCATATCTAGGGTTGAAGCCATTAAACAGAAACTGCAAAAACTAAGTAGGAAGGCTAAGACTAGAATAAAGTCGTCTACAGCAACTTAGTTTCTTTTACCTAGGATTACGTACATAAAACTGCATATTAAGAAAAAACCATCTAGAAAAAAATTATATCTAGGAGTCCCACTTTATTTCTGTCCCTTTTCTCCTCAATAAACTTTCTTTATCTAAAAAAGAAAAAGAAAAAGAAAAAAGAAAAAACCATCTAGGGCTTCCCTGGTGGCCCAAGCGGTTAAATCTCAGCACTACAAAGCTATCCACAGCCACTGCAGCATGAGTTTGATCCCCGGCCAGGGAGGTGACCCACATGGCGCAGCAGACCTCTCCTGTCTCGCCCGCTGCTCCCCTCAGCAGTGTATTTCAGTAGATCTGCCTGTTCTGCTCCCTACTCTGTCTCTGGTGAATCCTCTCACCCCCCCGCACCTCTGGCTTGCACCCCAGCTCTTGTTTGTATAAAGAAATAAATCTTTAAAAAAGAAAGAACCATCTAGAGAAACAAAAGTAAACATAAACAAATGGACTTACATCAAACTACAAAGTTTCTGCACAGCAGAAAAAAAAATTGTAAAAAGAAGACACTTGTCTAAATAGGAAAAAAAAATTGTAAATCATACATCTCACAAAGAGCTGATAGAGAAGATACATAAAGAACTCATGAAACTGAACAAAAAGCAAACAAAAAACCCAATCAAAACATGGGCAGAAAACTAAATAGACACTTCTCCAAAGAAGACACACAGATATGGCCAACAAGCACATGAAAAACATGTTCAGTAATGCTTATCATCAGGGAAATGCAAATCAAAATCACAGTGAGATACCATCTCACCTGAGAGAATGACCCATATTATAATAAAAAGCCCAGGAACAACAGCTGTTGGTGAGAATGTAGAGAAAAAAGAACCTGTGTACACTGCTGGTGGCAATATAGACTAGTCTAGCCCCTAAGCAGACAGTATGGAGGTTTCTCAAAAATATTAAAAGTAGATCTACCGTATGTATCTACTTGAAGAACACAAAACACTAAATCAAAGGGATATATACACTTCTCTGTTCATTTCAGCTCTATTTACAACAGCCAAGTTATGAAAACAACCCAGGTGCCCAAAGACAGAGAGTAAGTTTGAAAAATATGGTTCATATATACAATGAAATACTACTCAGCCATTAAAAAAATAGATGAATTTTTGTCATTTGCAATGTCATGGATGGATCTGGAAGGGATAATGCTAAGCAAAGTCAGTCAGCAGGGGAAATAGAATACTGGATGGTTTCACTTAAATGTGGAAATATAGAGGAACAAAACAAAGGGTCAGACAAAAACAAACTAATAACAAACCTTAGAAATCTGACTGTGGAACTCGGGCTACAAAACAAAGAAGGGGAGAGGAAAAACAATGAGTGGAAACATGAAGGACTGTAAGGAGGGCTGGGGCGCCTTGGTGTGGGTGTGATGTGGTGACACGTACCTCAGGAGGTGTGATCTGTGCCTCTGGAAATCAATATTACCTCAATAAAAATAAAATATATAATGATCTTTTTTAAAAAAGTCTTCCACTTTCCTTTGCCTTCACATACATACTGCAAGTCTCATACTAAAAGCACTTACCTGACATTTTTGCCCTGTTCAGTGAGCATCTTTACCAAATCAGCAATGGGGTACTGAGCTTTGGCTGCACAGAGACCATAGCCTAGGAAGAATAATATGTTTTTTTTTAATTTTTATGAACAACTACTCTCTTTATCAACACATTTCTATGCCAACAGAGGCAATCAATGAAAAGGACTAGAAATGAAAGTAAATTTCTAATAGGAACGTTTTTAAAATTGGGTAAATTTCAATTTTTTTAAATTAGGTCCACTGTCCCATCTCTACCTCAAATTTAATGTCTCTAGAAAGAACATAATATACCCCCCCATCCAAAAGTGAAAATACTCCATATTTGCAATGTTATTACAGTGATAATCAAAAACTTCCATCATCTTCCTTCTCCTTTAATCCCTACATTCTGTCCATTCTACCTGCACAATGAATCTGACATCTATCTCCACTTTTCAACACCCATTTCTCTAAATACCAAGTCTATGCTCAAGTTATTCCCTCTAGCTTCTCTCACCTCAGCAGCATCCTTCCCCTGGGGCCCAAATCCTTCTTAGCTTCCCTCAGATGAAAAATTATCTACACAATTCAATTTTGCCCACATCATAACCCACCCTGCATTAATTATGCACCTGATTTCCTCACTAGAGGGAAAAATGCCTACAGGGAAAGACCATACTCTACATCTTTACATCTTGACACTTTTCTCTAGCAGTGTTTCCAACAGCTAACTCCAAGGCCACTTTGGTTGGGACACCTCATTATGCAGGATGGTCCCAGACATTACAGCATATTTAGTCTATCTTTCCCAAAAGTTCATTGACAGTAGCAGCCCCATCTTGGAGACAACGAAACACCCAAATCCACATGTTTCAAATTCCCCTAGAAAGTGGTATTGCTACCTTGGGAAGACTGGCACTTGAGCACTCAATTCTGCTAATGTTTGTTATTTACAAATTAGTATATAATGAACAAGCAAACTACCCACATATCAAATTAATAGATTTTCTTTGTGAAAACATGATAGAGTTAACATCTTAAATTGAAACCAATGTATTTCCTATAATATCATAGAATTATGATTAGAGTGAAGAAAATCTGAACCCAGAAAATTAGAAAGTTGAGGCCTGGAGAGATTAAATGATTCAATCAATGTTATGTTGATGATTAGAGGCAAAATTAAGTACCAAAGTGAGGTATTGTTACTCCAAGACAAAGCTCTTTCTACTAGGTTTTGCTACCTTATCTTTTTGGAAAAATATGATTCTCAATTTTTAAAGTACTTACATTTGAAAAATAAAGGTGAACATTTATGAACACTGAATGAGTCTAATAAGTTAGCTAGACAGCTACATGTACTATTTTAATAATTTACTAATTTGTTAATTTAATGATTTAATCTAATTTAATAGATAATTAATCTAATAAATAAATAATTTAATCTATTTAATAATTTAATCCTAACAAGTTACCAAAAAAAAGAAAAATGTATCAGTGAGACAAATATGTATCAATGAGGAAAAAAAATAACCAAAACTCAAAGATGATTTACACATTTTTACAGAATCATAAAATAACATGACTAGAATTTACTACTGCATCAATTTATAGGATTTCTATGTGATCCCTAAAATTTTAAACTAAACCAAGAATTCTCAAAATTTTTTCACTTAGTAATACAGTTTTAAGTTTCCATTGTGTTTTCAGAAATAAAGAAGCCCCAATTCTATTTTTTCTTGTTATAAGAAAGTATATAAAGTATATTAATGCAATCAACCACACCACTATCAAACATTGTTTGCTTTTCGGTTGTTTGGGTTTTTTACCTGGAGTAATAATAATACTACTAGCTTCTCGAATCATGTCAATTGCATTGTCAAGGTTGATTTCTGTATGTGTGCCAGTAATTTCCATGGGTTTTCCACCAGCTGTTGAAGAAGTGCCATAGCCTCCAAGAATCACATTAGTCAGGGAGCGATTCATAGCCTAGAGAGCAAAATTATCAGCTGTAAGGTTAAATCCACTTTTTGAAAATGGTATGAACTTGTATATATGATATTTATATCATTAAATAGATTTAACTCATTATTTAAAACACTTTGACCAGATAAATTTGACCTAACTCTTTTTTTTCACCTAACTTTTTAAAAGCTAGTTCAAAAATCTAAAAGACAAGAAGACATCTAGAAAACTACATCATTTTTCTCTAGAATATCAACTGCACATGACAGAATGTCAGTGAAAGAGTAAATTTAAAAAAAAAAAAACTGATGGAAAATTACCAATAACTCTAAGAAATTAATGAAAATCAAGATCTGTACAGTGACCTTATATTCTGTAAGCAATTATATACTACCTCCACATTTATGTGTATTTCACCTGCATAAAAGAGAATGACAGAAGTAAGAAATTTTGCAAGGTTATCCTAACACATCTCAAGTGAATTCTGCAACCAGTTGCAAGTGGTCAAGCAAGTGGTACTAATCAAAAAATAGGGGCTCTTTCATTTAGAACTCTGCTGCCCTCTGCTGTCAAGAAAAAAGGAATGTGGGAGTCGACACTATTTTCCAAATCAATTACAACTCCATGAATCTGTAATAGAAGTGCTAGACTCATCATTAGGCAACTAAAATACTTAATTTCCAATAGATAGGTAAGTTTATACAAGGCCTCATTAAAATTTACAACCACCCTTTTAACTAGAAAATAACCTCAAGGAAAAACTAAGGAAGGCACATGTTCATTTTACCATGTACCACACAAATGCTACAACTAAAATATGCAACAATATCTGATCTGGTCTTACGAACATTTTTTTATAGACCTCTGGAGGCAAAATAAAATAGAATAGGTAAAAGCTAGATGTTTTGAGCAAATACATTTTAATAATGTAAATCACTGTATGTGATCAAAGCATAATTCTACAAAGCATCAGCATAAATGAATTTATCACTGCAGAAAAAAAATAAGCTCTATTTTAAGGGTTATGATAAAGATCACCAATCCATTGCTCATGCCATTTAAAATCTACATTAAGGGCCTCCCTGGTGGCACAGCGGTTGAGCAATAGGCTGCAAAGCTGCCCACAGCCTCTGCAGTGCCGGTTCAATCCCTGGCCACTGGGCGAGGGTCCCACATGGCACGTAGACCTCTCCTGCTGCCCACTGCTCCCTTCAACAGTGTATTTCATCGGTCTGTCTGTTCTGCTCCCTGCTCTGGCTCTGGTGAATTCTCGCACCCTCCAGCACTTCTGACTGTACCCAGTGCTTGTATAAATAAATAAATAAATCTTTGAAAAAAAAATCTACATTAAGTATCAATCTACTATTTAATGAAAAAAGGTAATACTGTATATTTTAAATGATCTGAAGATTTTCAGTTATCATAGGAAAAGAAAACCCATTCATTCAAGACAGTCCAACTTGTTTCCTCTTCAGCAGAGACATTGAATACACTGCTTCTGCTGGATGGAGGTCAAGGCAGGTAGGAAAAGGAACAGAAGAATTGAGCGGAGTCACACATGACTGGAGAAAGTATACCCATACCACAGGTTTCAAGGATGATAGATCAATATGTTGTGAGAATTTTAAATCATTCTTTTGACCCATGCTCCTTTATCAGAACAACATTCATATTTTACATGCCCAAAGTCTAATAAGTTTGTCTAGGACTATCACATATAAAATAAAGCCCAGAATATCTTTATGCATATTTTTTTTAAAACAACATAGAATTTTTTTTTTCATTTTATTTTATTTATTTATACAAGCACTGGGTACAGTCAGAAGCACGGGAGGGTGAGAGGATTCACCAGAGCCAGAGCAGGGAACAGAACAGGCAGACTGACGAAATACACTGCTAAGGGGAGCAGCGGGCGGCAGGAGAGGTCTGTCACGCCATGTGGGACCTTCGCCCAGCGGCCAGGGATCGAACCAACGCTGCAGAGGCTGCCGGCAGCTTCGCAACCCAGCACTCAACCACTGCGCCACCGGGGAGGCCCTCTTTATGCATATTTTGAATGGATAAGAGGGTCCGATAAAATTAGCATGCTTTAGTTAAGTTCATTCCCAGTCTGATATGTTTAAAATTCCTAACACAACTGCTATAACTTAAATTCAAGGTTTAATGAAATCCAAATAGTCATACCTGAGACTTTCCAAATTATCAACATCTGTTGATTTTGATAAACTCTTTCTAGTTTTGAGTTACAGGATTCTGAGAATAAATTGCAAAAAAATATGTTCTAATAAATTTTAGAATTGCTTTAGAACTGTTACAGACACAGAGATATTTCTGTCATAGAAGGCTTTTTTAAAAAGTTGAATGTGGGAAGAGGCTCCATCACTGCATCACAAAGCTGTGTGATGCACAAATGACCAACAGATAGAATGTACAAGGACAGAGGGAGAAGGATATAAACATTTAATTCGAACTTGACTTTAAAGCACCAGTCTTTACTCCTTATAAAACTGAATGGAGGAGAAAGAATTTCTGAGAACATTTAATTAACGTGTACCCGATTGTGATGGCATCTTACGAAGAAAAAAAGAGAACCACACAGTAGTTTAACAATCAAAGTCAACTTGCTAAAACACGTATCCACAATTATATCACCATTAAGTTAATTCCATGTGGTCTCTTAAAAACTAAATTATTTTTCATCTCTGAATTTACCATTGCAACATCACATTTTCAACAAATGTTTAGGGTTTGGAGTTTTGTTTTGTTTCTCTCTCCCTTTTTTATTTTTTTGGCCTAAGTGATGAATGAGACCGCCCTGTGACCACTGATCCACAGAATGAAGAGTTCCCAGTTTCCAAGACAAAGTATTTGCAACATTGTCCAAAACTGGTCCTTTTAAGTTATTAAGCCCCTTAATGAACATTGTATGCTACATTAAAGAAAACCTTAATCCACATAATTCCAAACAAACTATAAGAAATAAATCTGAAAACAAAGGAAAGGTCATAAAATAGACAAAGCCAAAGTAGTATTTATTAGCATCTCTCATTTCTGTGCTTTGTAGGTGCTAATTAATTGATCACAAGGCAAAAAACAATTATTTTTGGTTTGGCTTTGAGCCACTTCATTTTGTTATATTTTCATTGGGAAACAAGGGGCAAATACAAAAATCAGAAAAGTTGATCTAAAAAATGCTGTTTCATTTTGCAAGTCCTCTACTTACCAAAACACAATCTCAAATAGATGAACTATAAAATCCTGAGGTTAGCATCTATATGACATCTGGGTATAAAGCAAATCCTTCATTTGGGCTGGTAGTTTGAACACTATCAACATTTTTCAGTTTTTATAACAAAAATTGAGTATTGTGTAACCACAGCATTAGCTCAGAGGACACCCAAAAGAATTCTTTGTCTGAAAAAAATTCAATTTTAGGGATTGCTGCTTAGAAACTTGGGGAGCATTCCATTCCCGCTCACATAATAAAGCCACTCTGTTCTGGTTTGGATTTGCATGTTTCCTTCAATAAATAACAAAATAATGAAGGTAAACATACAAGCAGTATTAAATGATACTGATATGTGGTATATCTGTTACCATAACCTACCCGGAAAGAATTCCAAAATATGTAATAAGCTAACAAAATATCCATCTAATGTTTGTTTAACAAATATTCATTTGAATGTGCCAGGAGCTAAGTCAGGCTCCATAAACACAAATAGCATCTTAAGATATCTTCTCTGTAAAATGAGGATGCTCCCCACATCCAGAATTAGTGTTGGGAGTAAATGAGCTAATATGTATAAAACACCCAATGTACGGCCTCCCCGGTGGCGCAGCGGTTGAGCGCTGGGTTGAGAAGCTGCCCGCGGCCTCTGTGGCGCCGGTTCGATCCCCGGCTGCTCCCCGGCCACCGGAGGAGGGTCCCACATGGCGTGCAGACCTCTCCTGCCGCCCGCTGCTCCCCTCAGCAGTGTACTTTGGTCCTTCTGCCTGCTCTGCTCCCCGCTCTGGCTCTGGTGAATTCTCTCACCCTCCCGCGCTTCTGACTGTACCCAGTGCATGTATAAACAAAACAAACAAACAAACCAGCAAAAACAAATAAATAAAGCATGCCTCTATAAAGAAAAAAAAAAAAAAAAACACCCAATGTAGTATCTGCAGTAGTGTGCTATTACCAATTATGAGCAACCATTTCACTTTTATTTTCTTATTGTTTATTATTATTTATTATTTTATTATTATGACCACATTGAGCTGCTAAGCTCTAGCCATTAAAAAAAAACAATATCTTATAATGAAGCACAAGCTAAGAATCCATGAAGATTAATACATGTCAGAAATCACAAAATTTGAGAAGGCAAGAAAATGTCTATCTTCAAAATTGAAAAGCATGCTTATTTTTGTGGTTGTTATTTGTTTTGTAATAGGACTTCAGAGTAGAAAGTATGCAATAAAAATAAGCACTTCAGGCATCTCCAGTAAGAGTTTTGACAGGAGACTCCTCTGGGGAGGTCAATTTATCAATAATCAACAGACAACAGAAATATGTTACTTCCTTAGACCAAGGAATTGTACTTTTAAAAATCTGACCTAAGGAAATAATCAAAGACAAACAAGGAGGAATAATGTAGCAAAAAGAAAGCTAAAAATAATGAAGAAAGTAGGTTTGGATAAATAAATTACAGAATGTCTATGTGAAATAATAACATGGAGATGCTGAAATAATTTATTACAAAACTCTCATAAATATTAGTGATAAAATTAAACCAGAATGTATTTAAACGTATGCATATAAAAAGACTAGCTCTAGAATGTTAAATGTCAATAGTTAAGTGGCAATGGGATTATAAATTATTTTATTTTCTGATTTATATTTTTCTATTTTTTTCCAAATTTCCCACATCAAGCATTTTTTATTTTTGTAACTGAATATTTTTAAAAATGTAAAGCTTCAACTGTCTTGGTGGGGGGGTTAAAAAAAAAAGGAAAAAAAAATGGTTCAACTGTCCTTTAATCCAAAGTAACATAGTTTACTATTACAGAATATTAATCTGATCCAGTATGATTTTCAGGGTTCTACACAGTTTATTATGTTAATGAGGTTTTATTCCTATATGAATACCATGTTAACCTTACATACAATATAGGAATAAAAAATATCGGTGGTGGGATGGTAATAAATAGCATGCCAGATGAGTGGAGAGAAAGAAAAGAAACAAAGAACTAGAAAAAAAGATAAAAATATATGAGAGAATTGAAAAAGAAAGATGACATAATTATAGAAATACACAAAGAAAAGACTACTTTCAATGAGTGTCTCTTCTTCCTTATTCTAGTTACTGTTATAAAATTGTTACTATAACAGTCACTGTCCACTGGAACTTTGGGGTGGAGGGGAATGAAGCATGTATACAAATGTGACACTGGACTCCAAAATTACAGTTATGTAAGTGCAAATCAACATAATTTGATTTTAAAAAGTTACTGTATTATTATATAATAATACAAAAAACAAATGAAGAAGGGAAAGGAAAGAAAATAAAAGAGAAACAGAAATTTAGGAAACACTAAATTGATATATTTAAAAACCTAAAGAAAATCATTCAAGAAAAGTATAATAAAAGCATGATAGTACTTGAAGAACTAGATACAAGTTCTCCACCACTCCCCATCTCAGTGTGTCACTGGGTTTAAATCTCAAATCCTTGGTTATTTTTTTAGATTTTTAATAGTTGTGTAAATTTTTTGTTTTCCAAACTGAAATTTACTGGTTATTGTTTTTGTTGGTGTTACGCTTTACATGGAAACCAAATTATATATTTAAATAAACTTTATTCTTAAGATTAAGAAATAATTTTAAAATCAGTTTTTAATGAGAATCTGCTGCCCCCTGCTGGTTAAAAGATTTAAGGAAAATATTTCTAATGCAATTGAATGTTTTTCTTCTTCACATATACTTGTTTTTTTTTTTATTAATAAATTTAATTTTTATATTCCCCATACAATTGCAATCCCCCCATTCTGACCCCAATCCCTCCCCTCCCGCCCCCCACCCCCTTCTTCACATATACTTGTTTTTAAAAAACCCAAAGCCTGAAACTTTTCAAATAAGAGGCACAATCCTCCACCTTTCTGAATTCCCTGAAAACTTGGGGGAGTTCATTTTAAAACCTCTTGTTTTGAATCTTGACTATATTACTAAAAATTACTAAAATTACCAAAAAGAAAACTACTTTTTTATTTTTTTTTTTTTTTTTTAATTTTCTAGAGGCATGTCTTATTTATTTATTTATTATTTGTTTGTTTGTTTGGTTTATACATGCACTGGGTACAGTCAGAAGCGCGGGAGGGTGAGAGAATTCACCAGAGCCAGAGCAGGGAGCAGAGCAGGCAGAAGGACCGAAGTACACTGCTGAGGGGAGCAGCGGGCGGCAGGAGAGGTCTACGCGCCATGTGGGACCCTCCTCTGGTGGCCGGGGAGCAGCCGGGGATCGAACCGGCGCCACAGAGGCCGCGGGTAGCTTTGCAACCCAGCGCTCAACCGCTGCGCCACCGGGGAGGCCCTACTTTTTTATTATTAAAAAATAACTTCAGCACTCACTATATAATGAGATTTCCAATTAGACATAAGAAGGATTCTGAGTTGTAAAACAATTTTTTAATATTATAATAAAAAATGAAGGTAGAGTAAGTTCCTTTTTCTATTGAATTATTTATCTAGTTAAAGTCACATTCTGATTTCACAGTTTTGTGGTTGTACTTTGACCGTCATTCAAAACTATTATTTAGAGAATAGTTGGAATTTGAAAAAGTTTTCTAGTCAAATCTGTTTTTGCATAGTCTTGCCATCAAGAAGAGAATCACAAACAAAAGGAAGCTGGGAAGTGTTTATGTTATAAATTTTTTCATTTCTTTTTTAAGAAAACCATGCTGACCATGACACTTGCAGACAGGCACGCTCATCAATGACAAGTGGGAGTGTGAACTGGCACAAGCTTTCTGGAAATAGCATGGCATTAAGTACTTAAAAGCCCATCAGAAAGAGCACACCCTTTGAGCAATCAATCCTAACACAACAGTAAGAAATGCCAGTGAGGTGCTTATGTACAAAAAGAAATCAAAATCAAACAACCTACTCTATAGCTACTGTATAGCACTGTGGAAAATTAAATTTTGTATATCCATATGACACACAAGCATAAAGTCCCTTAAATATGTTTTGAATCATTTTAACGATAAGGAAATGGCAAGATGATAACTTGTAAGATTTCAAAAAATGAAATGTATATAATACAGTATATAATATGATCAGAAAAATAAATACACAGATATTTAGTACACGAAGAAAAAGAATATAAGGAAATAGACCATCTCCAGATGGAAGGAGTCAAAAGATTCTAATGTTTATAGTTTACTTTCCTAATTATCTACCCTTGGTTACTTTCAAAGCGGTCTTGCAAATTTATTCAAATGAGACACTGCTATTTCTGCTGGAAAGAAGAAAAACTGGCATCATATTTACTGCAAATAAAGGACAAAAACACTTATTTTTCATAGCACCATTTTCTTTCCTTTGAGATATGTCTTACCACACACATGATGTAGGACAGGATGGCACCAGAGGAGCCAATGAGCGCACCCACGATGGTCAGCAGGTTGTTGTTGAGCAGAAACCCCTCTGCACACAAGGCCCAGCCAGAGTAGCTGTTCAGCACAGTGATAACCACGGGCATGTCAGCACCCCCGATGGCAGCAGTCAAAGTCACACCCTAGGTGGAAACCGAAACAGAACTCAAAATTAGTAATGTAACAATAAAACTTCTGCCATTTAATATTTTGCTTCCAAATCATTCCGGTTTCCAATTAGTGTATTTACATATAAGTTCCACTGCCGGTAATAACTGTCTCTTATCTGACCCTTTGCTCATTGATATAATTGTAAACACTGAACCAACTCCCCCCAATCCGCCACACACACAAAAATCCCATATCCCTAAAAGGCAGTGATGAGAAGCAGGAAAAAACTAGAGAGAGGTCGACACTTGGGAAAAAAAGTAATAGCACTGAATGAATTTCCCAGTTTTTATGGCATTCGCTTAAGGGCAGGTCCCTATTGGTGCCAAGTGAAGCAGTTAAAAATGTCAGCACAAAAAATCTCACTAGTTTGAAGAGTCAATGGTAGGGTTTAGTTAAGGGGCCTGAGGCAATTAGAAAATGAGAAGGGAAATTCTGCCAAGGAGAAGGCTAAGGAAAGGAAGCCCCAAATTTTGTATATAAACTCTATCCATATCTCTGCCCCATGTGAGCTGATACCAAGCAATCCTGCTAAGGATAAAATAACAGATTTTAGTTGCCCCAACTCCCACCACAGGGGAACCAGTATATCAATTTTAAAAATCAGTTACAAAACTAACAAATAAATAAATAATAATCAACATTCTGGAGAAATGCAACAGAATCCAAAGACTCTATAATGCATCGTTCATAACAATGTCTATGATGCAACCAAAAATCACTAAATATGGAAAGAAAAAAGGGAGAAAGATTTTTGTTTATTATTCTATAGAGTCCCAGCTATTTTGAGTTAGTTATGATGTGAATTTGTGTATTCATTAATTAAATCAAAAGCAACTAAAATTAGTCCACAAAAAATTTATCTTACTTGGGCATTCTTTTAAAAATCAAATCCAACTCTTCTCAAAAATAACAATAATTTCAAAAATATTGAAATAATTTCAAAAATATTGAAATAATTTCAAAAATATTGAAATTTTACATTTGTATGATTTTGAGACTTTTTTCCTCTTCTTAATTAAAAATATCAAAACTATTTTACTTTTGCTTAAAATAAAATAAAAATCAACAATATATAAGCCAAGACAAAATCGGATAATCAGTAATGACACAGAAATAGAATTTCCGGTTACTTTCCGGTGTTCTAAAGCTTCTGCGTTAAAAACATGGCTGAAATCTATGGATTACATAAAATATAAGCATGATTTTAACATTAAAATCTTATGTTTCTCAATTAAACAGTATTTTTAAACAATTATTTTATTTCTCATTGTGCAAAGTACTGTTGATTTTTTTTAAAAATTAAAATAATAAACCTTGTCTATAAACCACAGATAAACATGACACAAACACAGAAATGCAATGGCATTTGCACACTGATAATAACATGCTAAATTGTAACATGCAGACAACTAGAGAAACTATGTGTTTCAACATACTAAATGCAAAAATTAGAGAGGAAGAGGAAAACCCAAACCTATCATGAAAGACTTCACTGAACTCCCTCAGCAAACACACAGGGTTTATAACTGCATCTCACTTTATACAATTATGTGATTTGGTATCATTGCTTAGAACAAATGTGAGAGCAACTAATGGGCAGGCACTGTCTTACACTTATTGCATAAACCCCAAATCACTATTTTGCAGGACTTGCCACACAGCAGGCACCTGGGGAATTAAACTGAAACACTTGGCTTTTTAGAAATCTTATTCATCAACACACTAATCAGTAAAAAGCCCCTGAGCAACAATGATATCACATGTGACAACTTTGAAAGAAATAATTAAGCTGAAAGAGTGGTTTTTAACTGGGAGTAAAGCACGGAGGGGACTCAATGGACTATGGTGCGAGATTATTAGTGTGTTGGTGGTGGGCATGGTTTGAGAACATACATTTGTAGAGGTGTGAATCTGTACTCATAAAACATGTATGGTGTTGTAAATCAACACTGCCTCAATAAGCAAAATGGTTTAAAAAAGTGATTTTCTTTGCAGTTTTTTTATATTTTCCAGATTCTAAGAAGATGAACCCCTCACATTATTTAGAATATTTTTATGCCATCAGAGGTCTAGAAGATTAGATAATTAGGATTAGATTGGAATCGAACAAAATACTCTCAAACATGTGCTCCCCATCTCTGACTTCTCACCATGACAGCAGAGAGAGCTGACACAGAGCTCAGACAGGTAATGCCGGTGGTAAAGCTGGGGTCCATCATAAACGGCATCATTCCACCCACACTAGCAGCCAGCAGGCCTGCATTGAGTAAGTGCCTTCCAGGGAGTATGAGAGGGGCAGATTTTAGGATACCTAGGACCAAGCACATGGTGGTCAAAACCCAGAACATATCATAAGGCCATTTGAACCCCTCTTACCCACTCCCTTCTTTCATAAGAAACCCCCTCATTTATGCACCCTGAAGTGTATGTCAATTAATTCTAAACTACCCCAACAATATAGAATAAAAATATGACATTTTTAAAATATCACATTATATTACCAGATACTGAAACATAAAAGCAAATAAAGTTCTTACACACATCAAATATTAGCGGAAATAGAAAAAGTATGGCTTAACTGTTCTTTACTTTGATCCCACAATTTCTTTACTCTTTGTCATAGAATCTTGAAAAGTGATTTTTTTTCTCCCGTATGACCAACACAGAAGTTTTGAAGTGTGGTTTTATTTATTTACAACTTCAAAACAGAGTCTGAGGACATTAGCATTTCTGATTCTATCAACTGAACCCAAGGGAGAAGAGCCCTGGTTTGCTAGTTGTTTGCAAGGACAAAGCATGAGACACGAATGTTTTAGGTTTAAAGTTCTTTTGTGATTTTTAAGTTTCATGAAATTCCCCACTTAATTTTAATGAGTTGATTACTGAGAAGGAAGACAAGATTTTTAAATGAAAAACTAGTTCCTCTAGACTAACTTTTTTGTGACAACGCTAAAAGGTGTCCCACATACACACTGCTCTTTTCAGGGCTGGCTTTAGGAGGAGCAAAAGTTATCCTGACAGAGGCCCTAAAGTATGGATTTTGTTTTTAAAATAAATGCACTTGGTCTCTCCCCTGGTGGCGCAGCGGGTTGAGCACAGCGTTATGAGGCTGTCTGCGGCCCCTACAGCACCAGTTCAATCCCATCCCACCTGCGAGGGTCCCACATGGCACGATAGACCTCGCCTGCTGCTGCCCTCAGCAGTGTATTTCAGTCTGCCTGTTCTGTTCCCGGCTCTGTCTCTGTCGAATCCTCTCACCCTCCCGCGCATCTGGCCTCCACCCCAGTTCTTGTATGCATAAATAAATAATCTTAAAAAAAAATAGTCATTTAAAAAAAAAATAAGTGCACTCAATAAACTTTTCTCTCTTATAGAAAATGTATAAAGTTCATTTCTGCAAACTTTACAAGGGCATCTCTAACCAAGGATTACGGAGATACTATCTTTATCTTTATTTCAATTATTCTGTCAATTATTCAAATGTCAATTAGTCTCTGCACAAACCTCTGTGCACCAGTTTCCTCCACTAACTGCAGAAGAAACAACTTCAAAGATTTAGGAAACAAATAACAGGAAGTCATCTTTATGGAGGGAAAAAAAGCTCATGTATTTCTGAGTACTACATAAAAACTCTTCACCTAACAGGTTCTACTGTTCATCTATTTTCTGAAATTGAAATGAACCCCTAAGCACCCCAAATTAAAAAAATATTTGCCTCTATGTGATGGTTATGCACTTACCCTGCAATTTTCCATAGGCAACAAGAGACCCACTAAATGTGACACCACCGATGTAAGTTCCGAGGTAGGCCACGATCTTGGTGAGGTTTGCTGTTGCATCCATGGCAAAATGTGGATACTCGACAATGTACTCCGCGATGCAAGTGAGTACAGCTGCCAAGCCCACTAAACTGTGAAAAGCAGCAACTAACTGAGGTAAGTCTGTAATTTGGATGCGTTTGGCAATTGTTAAGCCTGTTGGCAAAGGAAGGCCAAAAGAGAAATTAAAACTTGACAGACCTTTGAGACATAACCGCAAGAAAGATCATACTTAAAGGTTCCATCACTGTGACCAGTAATTATTTATCTGCTTCTCACTGTGGTAAATATTCTCTACATGGGCTGTACAGAAAATAAAGACACCGGCTGTGTGTGTGTGTACACATACTTTTTTTTCCAATCCCCCATTCTATTATCAGCTAACTGGACAAAATCAGAAAAGCAAACAAATCACAGAGTATTTTTACAGCACAATAATCTTTACACTCAATTGATAGACTTAGTATTTTTAAATGTTTGTATTTGAATGACAATTATACCAACTGTGATGAATTTTCTCCAAAACAATATTTACTGAAGCAATTTCCATTAAGGTAATTTAATTACTCCATTAATTCCTATTAATGACATAATGCCTTAAACAGAAAATATATATATATTCAGAAACTCAAGTGCTATTAAAAGTTCTTACTACTAATAATTATTCTTAAATGTCCGAGCATAACTGCCTTCATGGGTAAAGGGGACAAGGGTTCACATGAAGGCAAAACCCAAGCAGAGCTTACCAATGGTACCGCCCAAAGCCATTGCTCCAGACATCTGAGCTAACAGTTCTGGCCCTGGTGAGAGGCCTCCAAGGGTGGCCGCCAGGCCTCCAGACACCCCAATCATGCCCAATGCATTGCCAAGACGAGCTGTTCCCTGGGTGGAAAGGCCGGCCAAGGCACCAACACAGCACAGACCTGAGCCCAGGTACACGATCTATTCCAAAGAAAGGGAAGAAAGATTTAAAAAAATCTTGTCAAGACTGCTCTTTAGGATACATGATTCTCTTAGGACAATTTTAATTGCAGACAGTAGAGCACTAATGTGATCTCTTCTGATATTTCAATGTATTTTCCTATCTACTAGGTATATTAACATCTTAAATACTTTAAATTCTACTTGTAATTACACCATTTATGTAAATTGGTTTCTTCTGGACTTGATAGCATATATAAAGGCATATAAAGTACCTAATATAAATGTAATTATAGGATCTGGACCTAACTAAATGCTATGAAAGAGGAAATCCCTGATGTTTTAAATGCCAGGGATTATGCCTTCTACTTCACTTATGTTGTAACTCAGTCTTATGAGAGTCACAGGAGGAAAGAATCATCATCTCTCTTAACAAAAAAAAATCCAAAGCTTAAAGAGGTTACATGATTTTTCCAAAGTTGAATGATCAGTAAATAGAAAATCTGGGATTCAGGCATTAGTTCCTTTGACTCACCACACCAACTCTTCTCAAAAAGATTTTGTTCTTTCAACAAATACTGCATGTTGGAAACAGTAAAAACAAAGAAAGACATGATTTTTTTTTTTTTTTTTTTTTTTTTTTTTTTTTTTGCTGTCAAAGAATTGGCAACCTAGCCACAGTAATTAAAAAGAAATATGGAAATACTGAGTTCAGAACAGAGTTGAGCTCTATTATCATTATATTTAGACCCGGAGCTTTCAAGGTCCCATTTGATTATATCTGTTTTTCTACACAGCATTCATTATTTTTTTTCTGATTTATTTTATTTATTATGTACACAAGAACTGGAGTGCAAGCCAGAGGTGCGGGGAGGTGAGAAGATTCACTAGAGACAGAGTGGGGAACAGAGCAGTTGGATCTACTGAAATACACTGCTGAGGGGAGCAGCTGGCGAGTCAGGAGAGGTCTGCTGCACCATGTGGGCTGCTCCCTGGCAGCCTAGAGAATCAAACTCGTGCTGCAGAGGCTGTGGACAGCTTCATAGGTTGTGTCTTAACTCATTGAGCCACCAGGGAGGCCCTACACAGCATTCATTTTTAAACTATATTTTTTAAATTAATTGGCATAATATCTCTTGTCCATAAGAGATGGTGCTCCATATTTGTAGAAGAAAGTAGGAACATGACTAACAGCATTTAATTTTAAAAGTTTCTAATTTTTACTGATTATTCCATTGTATACCTACAACAATCTAGCCAGATACATAAAGAGGACACTAATACCTTATCTATACAGGTAAACCCACATTTGTCCATTCAGTTAGCAGGTAAATCTGTCTCTAGAATCCAGGGTTCTTGACCCGTAGGGGATGGGAATTTGATTTCATCTACTTGATCAAGATGTTTCTAGAGTTACTGTTGTATTGGCCTGATCGAGTTTGATTCTGATAATAATGTTAATCCCAACTGGAAAAAAAACACAGTGGCAAAAATGTAAATATTCAAAGGAGCCTCTTACTTGTTCAATGTTATAACCACTGTAGAGGGCAGCTAAATATCCCCCAATGAAGGTACCAGCAGGGAGTAGATACAGGTAATTGTATTCTGGGGGATCAGTGGGGCGTTTGAACATGTCCAGCATTCTCTGTGTCACCAGAAAGCCACCTTATCAAAGCAAATAGAAAACAGAAAGGGGTTATCTCATGGAGCAACATTATTTTTTAAAGTATTGTATTTTTTTTCTATTTTAAGCACATCTTTATAATCTAGGGATAAAAATAATTTTAAGAAACATTTTAAGAACCCCCCAAATTAAAAGTTATTCTATTATTCAAGCCAGCTCCACTAAACGGGGATGGGGGGGTAGGGGGAGGGAATTACGTATATTCAGAAAGAAAACTTGCTATCAGAAACCAGACCCAACTATTTCTGCATGACTAAAAGTAAACAGGCATTCAAATATCTTGGGAATGCAACAGATCAAAAGCCAGAATTTTTTTTCTAGTAAATTATTCTGTTTGTTAAGCCCTATAAAAAATGATATAAGAAAATAAATACCTTATCAACAGACACCAGGTTTCTTGGACAAACTAGAGATTTTTTGGCCATAAAATAGCATCAAATGAGTTTCACAAACAAATGATATGCTAGGCTTTCAGTTTTCAAGGACAAACACAGACTAGGATCAGGCAAAAAGCTAAAATTTTATCTCAAATTATACTCATTTAGAGATGTTATGGTGCTAGCTCTAAGTCACTTACTTCAAAACTACACATTCAATAACTTTCCAGTTAACTTGCAGCAAGACATCATTTTGTCTGTTTTAGGGCACTGGAGGGGGTAGAGGAAATTCTGCATCAAAAGGGTTTCTAAAAATTACAGATTGGGAAAAATAACTAATAACTTCACAGAATATTTATAGCTGAGTGAAACATTTTTTAAAGACAAAATTAAATTCTTGCTCAAGATATCTATTTTTTGAAGCTTGACCACTACCTCACACCATACACAAAAATCAACTCAAAATGGATTAAAGAACTAGACATAAGACCTGAAACCATAAAATATATAGAAGGAAATATAGGCGAAACACTACGTGATTTGCACATCAAAGACATCTTTACAGACACATCACCCAAAGCAGTGATAGTGAAGGCAAAGATAAACAGCTGGGACTACATCAAATTAAAGAGCTTCTGCACAGCAAAAGAGACAATAACAAAAATAAAGAGAAACCCTACCAACTGGGAGAACATTTTTGCACACAACACTAATGATAAAGGACTGATCACAAAAATCTGCAAAGAGCTGATGAGACTCAACAACAACAAAGAAAATAATCCAGTCAAAAAATGGGCAGAAGAGCTAAAAAGAAACTTCTCTGAAGAGGAAATGCAAATGGCCAACAGGCATATGAAAAAATGTTCAACATCACTTGTAATCAGGGAAATGCAAATCAAAACTACCATGAGATACCATCTCACACCAGTGAGAATGGCACATATTAAAAAAACTAGCAACAACAAATGTTGGCGAGGGTGTGGAGAAAAAGGAACTCTTCTGCACTGTTGGTGGGAGTGCAAACTGGTCCAACCACTATGGAGAGCTGTGTGGAGATTTCTGGACCTACTAAACATAGAGCTTCCACAGGATCCAGCAATTCCACTCCTAGGGATTTACCCAAAGGACACAGAAACATCAATTCCAAAGAGCACCTGCACCCCTATGTTTATAGCAGCACTGTTTACAATAGCTAAGCTATGGAAACAGCCCAAATGCCCAAAAATAGATGACTGGATCAAGAAGATGTGGTACATATACACCATGGAATATTACTCAGCATTCAAAAAAGATAAACACATGCAATTTGCAGCAACATGGATGGCGCTGGAAGGGATCATGCTCAGCGAAATAAGCCAAAAAGAAAAAGAAAAATACCGGATGGTCTCACTCATAGCAGGAATCTAGAAAACTTAAATAAGGGACCAGGAAAATGAATAACTATAAGAAAGTGAAAATCAAAATCAACAAAAAACTATGAAACAGAGACACTTTTGAGGGGGTGGGGGGCGGGAGGGGAGGGATTGGGATCAGAATGGGGGGGTTGAAATTGTATGGGGAATATAAAAATAAAATTTATTATAAAAAAAAAGTCAAAAAAAAAAGAAAAAAAGAAAAAGAAAAAAAAAGATATCTATTTTTATCGATTTATATTTGTTTCTCATGGAAATTTGTTGTATTTATTTCTCACTGGAAATAGCTGTCTGGCTTCTTTCACCATCACGTACCTGCAATGTTGACTGAGGATATGAAAGTAGCAAGAGCAGCAAGGCCCTGAGCAGTTGTGGAGGGATACAAATGTCCTCCCATCAGCGCCAGCCCACCAACCGCAGTCAAGCCTAGGAAGGAAGCATCAACAGAGTGATTAGCTATAGAAATGACACCGAATCAGATGTCAAAGCTGAAGAGCCTCATATGCACAGAGCCTCATCCTCATAAAGGAGGATGTTCTCACATGCCATTCCCATGGAAGTGTGATCGTGGCAGTGTTAACAAAACTTTTTTCTTTTTTTTTAAGATTTTTTTATGCATACAATAACTGGGGTACAGGCCAGAGGTGCGGGGTGTGAGAGGATCCACCAGAGACAGAGTGGGGAGCAGAACAGGCAGATCAACTGAAATATACTGCTGAGAGGAGCAGCAGGCGAGACAGGAGAGGTCTGCTGCACCATGTGGGTAGCTCCCTGGCCAGGGATCGAACTCGTGCTGCAGTGGTTGCAGATAGCTGCATAGGTTGCTTCCTAACCCCTTGTGCCACCAGGGAGACCCAACAAAACTTTTTTCTTCTGAAAAAGAATGTGACCTCCTTTAACTTTCTAGTTCTGTTCTCCTGGTAGACATAAATTAATAATGCTAGCAAACAATATAGTTGATGGTAAAAAGGGACCCCTGGTAGATAAATCGCATCTCAGCTAGAAAAAACTATTCAGGAACTATAACATGATGGTGAAGCCACAGCTTTAGGCTTCCTGAGTACAGTGGCTCTCAGAATTGAGTGTTTCCTGTAGTTTTCCTGCTACAGCAATGGCCACGCTAAAAGAGAGGCCCACTGGGACCATGAGGCTTCCAAGCCAGGGTAGCCCTTCCATCTGCCCAATGTGGGCCTCACCCTTCAGATTTGAGTCATCACTGAGGACAAAAAAGAACACGTCCTGGACAGCCATGTGGACCACTAACTGGGCCACTCCAAAGGCTCACATGGAAGAGAAATGTCTGACGCTGCCCCGCTAGCCAGCTGTTTTCTGTTCCATAAGCTTCAAGGAAACCTGATGCCACATGGCCTACTGTATACTTGCTAGGAATGTTAGTTAAATCTAAAGAGAAGCCCTAAAGGATGTTGCAAATAGGATTCTGTGAAACACTAGTTTCCAAATGTTATCAGAGGAATCCTTTTTTTTTTTTTTTTTTTTTTTATAGAGGCATGTTTTATTTATTTATTTATTTATTTGTTTGTTTGTTTTGTTTATGCATGCACTGGGTACAGTCAGAAGCGCGGGAGGGTGAGAGAATTCACCAGAGCCAGAGCAGGGAGCAGAGCAGGCAGAAGGACCGAAGTACACTGCTGAGGGGAGCAGCGGGCGGCAGGAGAGGTCTGCGCGCCATGTGGGACCCTCCTCTGGTGGCCGGGGAGCAGCCGGGGATCGAACCGGCACCGCAGAGGCTGTGGGCAGCTTCGCAACCCAGCGCTCAACCGCTGCGCCACCGGGGAGGCCCTCAGAGGAATCCTTTTTAAAGAAGTGATCAATGTTAACAAATCATATTGCATTTTGTATTTCTTTTTTTTTTTTTTTTTTTTTTTTTGTGGGACCCTCGCTGGTGGCCGGGGATCGAACTGGCGCTGCAGAGGCTGCGGGCAGCCTTGCAACCCAGCGCTCAACCACTGTGCCACCAGGGGAGGCCCTGCATTTTGTATTCTTCTCTGAAAGGTCTCTCAAAGATCATTGTCACTAGGACTCTATTTTATTTCATTCCATTCTCTCCATGACCACCCTCTCCTACCAGCACCAAAGGCCCAGGGAGTGATGTATTTGAAGGAAAAATCAGTTAACACTCAGCACTCGGCCTACTGTCTACCACACCCGGGAAGCGGGAAACTGAACTATAGAACCCAAAATCCCAGGAAATTGTGCAAATTACTCAGATATAAAAGGGGGACATTTGGGGTGGTTTTTATAAAGTTTCAAATGAATGAGACAGCTGTTCACTCAAGTGTGAGTAAATCAAATAGAAACATAAAGTTATGTCTGTTTTTATGTTTTGAAAGTTACAAATAAAACTATTTAATATGTGGAAACAAAATAAACTAAAAGGCAATCACAACTGAAAGAATTAACAGTGACAATGAATTGCTTGAAATGGGAGCAGCCAAAGGCCCAACAGACTTCTCAGTCTCTTGCTTCCAGGGCACCCCCTACCCCCTCCAAAAGCCTGATTCCCCACAATCATGACCTCAAATGCCAACCGATACACTTTGAAAACACACACCTTATAAGCCTCGTCGAAAGCATTCCTAGATTTGAATAAACTTATGAAAACCTACAGTGAGGGAAAACAAGACAGAAACAAACCTGAGATTGCATTAGTCACGGACATCAGTGGTGAGTGGAGAGCGGGGGTCACACCCCAAACGGTGTGGTACCCCACAATGCCGGCCAGGCCAAAAGTGGTCACCATCTGAGAAAAGGCTAAATTAGGAGCCACGATGCCCAAACCCAGCATCCCAGAGAGACCTAGAGAAAGAGGAGAAAGTGTGAGCTGACATCTGATTAGCTCAGGAAGATTAAAAGCACACACGCAAGCATCTGGAATTATCAATGCTTTTAAATTCCACACTCTTGCCAATAACAATCAGATTTTTTATAATATTTCATAAATTAGTGGGGGTGCACACACAGAGGGATTATGAACAACTCTACTTTCTGACCAACACTCCCAAAATAAAATAAATTGTAAAGATGTAGTAAAACACTCAAGTCACCTTAATAACAAATCGCACATTTTCCTCTGAGTAGTTTGTCCTCCTCCCTGTTTTAATTTTTATAGACAATGCCACATGTGTTTGTACAAGTGTTTTTATTCCAGAATTACAGGCCTAAAGGGATCTACCAAAGCACTTTCTACTTGGGCAAGACACAACTTTTATAAGACAGGACTTTTGTGAGGCCAATTTCATGTCACTCTCAGATTTGGCTGTGGAAGAGGGATTTTAAAAGAGTAGGAAGGATTTCATTCACTCCAGCACCTCCCCAAAACATATGGCTTCCACCCACCCGGGACAGAGGTTTTGCAATTGCTCCCGAAACTGGACTGGACTGCTGGCGAGAGCAGTCATCTCCAGCCTAAACACCAAGTCAGCAAACAGGGTTTTACAAAGCAAAGGAGAAAAAAATACAAATTAAATTAAGAATGTGAAGAATACAAACAGTCAGTTCTGAACATACATCTTTAATTATCGCCTTTCCTAATAGCAAACATGTGGATGGCTGTTCTGCAATACAAGGGTTACCTAGTGGTCAGTCAAAACAGAGTGATAGTAGATGAAAAGGAAGCTGAAATTTAGCTTTTCTGAATAAGGTACTTTGTTCCTTGATATGTACCATTTCTTTATATAAATGGCACCATTAGAACATCTAGTAATTGACATTAATTTTACTTGAAATCATTCAATAAGATTGTAATCTTAATTTGTATTTTCCCACCCGCATAAATGATATCTGGATACCAATGCATGGCCTGTTAACCATCTGGGGGGAGAGATAGAATATTGTTTTGCATTCCAGTTTAACATTAGAGAAGCTATACAGGATTTTAGTTAAAAATACGTTTTCTTAAGCGAGACTGTCTGGTTCAAATCCTGGGTCTGCTGCTTGTTTGCTGTGTGATCTTAGGCAAATTACTTAACCTCTCTGTCTACAGTGTCCTCATCTGTAATATTACTGACCCACTTTCTCCTCATCTGGAAAAGGAAAATAATATTATACCCACCTCATTGGGTTTTTACAAAGAATAAATGAGTTAAGACATGTAAAGTGTTTAGCACAATGCCAAGCACTCACTAAACACTGGTTATTATCATGATTACATTAATAAAGAAGCACCAGATTATCATAAGCGCCATCCCACTGTGTTGAGCACCCAAGACAGAAACCATACATCTGAAGGTTTTCTTATTAACTGTTCAATAAGATAATGTCTTTTCTATATTACACTTAATGTCAAAAGTGTTATCTCTATACTCTGCGTAACAGAGGAAAAAAGCGAATCACATTCTTTGAAGAATGTCATTGTAATAGACTTCTAACACATACGAGAAAAACATTGGTTTTCAACATAAAGGAGAAAGTTCAAAATTTGAGAAAATATATACATACATATCAAAAAAAATATACGTAATGAGACAGATAGGTAGACAGATGATAGTTGACAGACAAATAGTGATTCTTTCATTCACTGAAACATGCCATTTTCATAACTATTAAAATGCGATAAACTTTGACTTAACAAATATGAGAAACCTAGAAAAATGAATCATAGATGCCTTGTTATATTTCCTCATAATCGCAATGAGAAAGGGAAATTTACAAATCTACTTTACTGATAATAAACTCGAACTACAATACAATAACCTGGTTCATTTTTGTTTTTCAACAAGTGCAAACAGGGACACTGCCCCATCTATTCACAATGTTGTTCTCAACTGGAGGATTTTTCAGTCTTTTTGCTGAGACTTGCTCTTTATTCAAGGAGAGTTACATATTTAGCTTTAAAACATCTGGACTCACAAGGGAATTTGAAGAATGCAGAGACTACAAAAATTCTGTGTGCCTAGTGCTGGCCCTTAATTCTGTATAGTTTGCCTTTGTTTTTGTTTTTGTTTTGGTCCTAAGCACATCTAAACATTTTTAGTTCATTCTATGACAGCAAAAGCAATTGAAAATCAAATATTCATATTTTAGACTAATACGTCAGAGCCAGAATGTATATTTATCATTATTTTGCAGTAATTCTTTAGTTTTTCATGAATATGCATTAAAAAAACAAAGAACTTATACTAAATTGAAGAGAAAGATAAAATTTTTGAAATTGAGTTTTTAACTAAGGAATAACTGAAAATATCAGACAAACTTTCAAAGGCTATACCTGTAGCATAGTGTTGATTCTTCAGCACAAACATTTGGTTACCTAGTCTCTTATCCAACATGCAGATTATCACAACTGATATTTTATAAACCACAAAAAAATTAATAGATATTATTTATATGGACTTCAAATCAATATACTTTGATGTACATCACTGCTCAAAATATTTGATGTACCAAAAATATAACGAATTTATTTAAAATACTTCTCATAAAAAGAAAAATATTAACTGTCTGTATATTATTTCACACATATTCATTCCAGAGGGTGGCCCAGTGCCTGTACCTCCTGGGGCAGGCGATCAGAGCAGTCCCAACTCCACAGAGGTAGGACAAGTGACTTGTTTATGAAAAATCACAGGCCCCATTCTAGCAGGCCCCATTCCAAATGGAATCCAAAGAAGACCAACATTTCATTAGTAATTTTGACAATCAATACATTATTTACAGAATTCAAATTATCAGGACTACATCCTTATTAATGGCATCCCCACCTGCTGTATAAGCAGAAGCTGCTGTCAACGTTTTCCTGAAGGGTGTCACTGTTGCTGCCTTTTCAGCTTCCACCTCAGCAACTGTCTTTGGTTTTTCTGGGGCACTTTGAGGAATATTTTTTGGTGTGGGAGCAGGGAAAATCACTTCACCATCCTAGCAGAAATCAGAAAAATAGCATTTAAAATAACATATTCGGGCATCCCCGTTGCACAGGCGATTGAGCGCAACACTGTGAAGCTGTCCGCAGCCTTTGCAGCGTGGTTCAATTCCTGGCCAGCCAGGGAAAAACCCACATGGTGCAGCAGACCTTTCCAGCCTCTCCAGCAGCTCCCCTCAGCAGTGTCTTCGGTCTGTCTGCCTGTTCTGCTCCCCGCTCTGTCTCTGGTGAATTCTCTCACCCTCCCACACCTCTGACCTGTACCCCAGTTCTTGTATGAGTAAATAAAATCTTTAAAAAAATAAATAAATAAAAATAAAAATAAATAACATTCCATATTAAAAACACAGAAGATGGCTATAGTGGTGGGAAAATGTTCCGCTGGAAGGGATCATGCTCAGTGAAATAAGCCAAAAAGAAAAAGAAAAATACCGGATGGTCTCACTCATAGCAGGAATCTAGAAAACTTAAATAAGGGACCAGGAAAATGAATAACTATAAAAAAGTGAAAATCAAAATCAACAAAAAACTATGAACCAGAGACACTTTTTGGGGGGTGGGGGGCGGGAGGGGAGGGATTGGGGTCAGAATGGGGGGATTGCAATTGTATGGGGAATATAAAAATAAAATTTATTAATTAAAAAAAAATAAAGCAACTTTATATGAGACATAAATTCATACAATTCATAACATCATTTTATATACATATGACATGAGTATGTAAAAATGTGTTATACATGGGCCACCCCTGGTAGCACAGCGGTTGAGCGCTGGGCTGCAAGGCTGCCCGCAGCCTCTGCAGCGCCAGTATAATGCCCCGCCACCAGCAAGGGTCCCACAAAAAAAAAAAAAAAAAAAAAAAAAAGTGTTATACAGAATACATGGATAAATAATGTATATAGAACATATATGGAAAAACAAAACATTAAAAGCAGATAGGTGAGAGCAAAAGCAAACATCTAATTTTACTTTATTCAATTCTGGAGTTTTGTTGTTGTTTCTGTTTCTCAAAAGTGACACATATTTTGGGTGAATCATATGCATGTAAGTCTCTGCCATATCCTTCTTTAAATTGTTCTGCATTTTTAAACAATTTTATTAGCATGAACCCAATACATCAATACTTTACTAGAATATATCTCGATTCCAAAATAGAATTTTCCCATAACCAGAAATACTAAAATACATTTGCACTGGCCACACAAAAAGCAACAGTTCTCCTCACTTACCTTCATGACCACAGTTCCCCTAATGACATGACCCATTGTACCAAAGTCAAAGTCATCTTTCACTTCAAAATAAAAATTATCTTTGTCGGGGCTGATGGCCTTCAGGAGTTTAGTGATGTTGTTAGAATATAGGGTGCTGGCCTGCGTGGCCATTCGGCTGGGAAGGTCGGTATAGCCGATGTGAGTAATTCCCTAAATAAACAAAAATATAGTCAAAAAGGGGCATTACCACATGCTCACATTCTTCTTAGGACAATTCTCATTCATAGTCTGAGCTAAGTTTTGAAATTACCGATCTTTAAAAATATGTAAATAGACTCACAAACAAGTACACACTGCAAAAGGAGATTTAAATGTGTCTATTTTTAATTTTAAAAATTTCAGGCTTCAACTTCCCTATAGACTGAAAGGAATAAGGACCTCTCACAAACCGCTAAAAATATGGGAACTGGTACACAGCAAGAAGCATTTTGCTGTACCTTATGCACATGAAGTTCTCCTGGCTTAGTGGTTTCAAAGTTTCCGCCAGCCTCAGCAGCTAAATCCACAACAACTGAACCTTCCTTCATTGACTCAATCATTTCTTTACTAAATAAAACTGGAGCCTTTTTACCTAATAAAATCAAAGAAAACAGTACAAATTACAATTTTTCAAAACTCAATATTCAAGTTATTACAGTAGTCTCTGGACATTCAGGAATTGAACATCTATAATTTCAACTCTTTCAAGAAACCCCTAAAGTCTGTAATACAGGTAAGACTGGTCATTCTCCCAAGAAATATGAACAGGAGCAGCAAGCCAGTACACAGGAGAATTAGCCAGAAAGCAAACCTTGCAATATGCTCAACACTGAAATCTCTTCCCACCTGGTTTCTACCCAGCATTATTCATGAAGTGATAAACATTTGACATTTTTTAATGTATAATAATAAGCCACTAGGCCTCCCTGGTGGCGCAGGAGGTTAAGCACCACACTATGAAGCAATCCAAGCCTATGCAGCACGAGTTCAATCCCCAGCCGGCCAGAGAGAAACCCAAATGGCAAAGCAGACCTCTCCTGTCTCACCCGCTGCTCCCCTCAGCAGTGTATTTCAGTCATTCTGCCTGTTCTGTTCCCCGCTCTGTCTCTGGTGAATCCTCTCACCCCCCTATATCTCTGGCCTGTACCCCAGCTCTTGTATGCATAAATAAATAAATCTTTAAAAAATAAGAAGAAAAAGAAGACAATAATGAAAATATGTATACCAGTATAGAACAATTCATAATGGTAACAGTAATTTGTGAATTACAAAATAAATGTTTCTAAATATCTCAACAGAAGTCACCAGATTCTGCGTCTATTAAGTCAGCCCTATTGTTGGTACTGGGAATCTACTGATTGATAAACAGAAAACATCCAATTCTCCTGGTGAACAGGAGACTCATTCACTAGTTTATACACATTTCAGACTCATTCACTAGTTTATACACAGGAGATAATGTCCTAAACATTAGGATTTTTCAAGCTAACATACATCAATATGTTCCATGAGAACTGTGCTGCCAGTGTATAATCATGATCGGGTCTCAGAAACATTGTAAATGTGTAAGTCAAAAGAAAAAGGAAATAAACTTGTGAAAAATAAACTTGTAAGGAAAGCAGAGAGTTAATGGTCTAATCATCGTTCATTACCTCTTCTTTGGAAAGTTTTCAACTCTTGTGTTTATTGAGTTTCAGTAAAAACTGTCAAATTTATAAATGGAAATCAATTTAAAATAAAATTTGCATTATAATAATCTGTGTTTCAATCTACTTGATTAGAATACGTATGATTCAAAAAAGAAGAAAAACTTTTTTGTAGCATATGTGAAAAGAAGTTGTAAAGTCTAAGTGGGTGTTTATACAGTACACCCTTCTTTCTCCACGCAAACTTTATACTTCCAAGATAAATTCCCAATGTTAAGCCTTCCCTTACTGAAGCCCTCCTCCCTGGGCCTCCCTCTCATTACTGAACCTGGCAGCCACCATGGTGTGTTAGATGATCTCTGGTTCTCTTTTCTAAGTCACAATGAGAGAGCAAAAATGAGGAGATATTTTTCCTAAAGACAACATCCTGAAGTCCTGGTAGTTTCTCCACTTCTCAAAATTCTCTGGACATATTCCTTTGCTCTACCCTGCCCACTGCAATCAAACAAAGGCATCTTGAACATTTAACTAAATTTTACTCAAGCATGAGAATTTGGGGATACACACCACTTACATCTGAAGATTTTGTCCAAAATACAGGTCACACTGCTCAACTCTGCAGTAATTTAAAGCAAAGGCTCGTAAGGTTGAAGCCACATACAGAGGCAAACTTAAAGTGCTAACCTGTACCTTCCAGGTAGTTAATCTCATCATCCATCCCCTTCTCAAGATCAGAGCCTCTTTCTTATTAAACAGTCTCCTGTTTGTTCAAGCTGTTCTTCCCGCTTTACCTGTACCCTCCAGTCTCAGGGTAATAGGTCTTAAACTACTCTTTTGGCTATTTTCAATTTAGATCCAAGTCCACTTCCCTCTGCCTTCTAATTGCACCAACTTTACCACCATCAATTTTGCATATTTGATTTGGCATCTAATTTCTCCTTCCCTAGAAATTCTAGATTTCTCCTTTCTTCTGAGGCATCTATAGCTAAGGATCAGTCCTGGACTGTAACAGTGCCTACTTTTCAAGACATCAAGTGGCCAAAATCATTTAGGCTTCTTAGAAAAAATTTGATATACAAACTATCTGTCTTCTTTGATTTTACTCATCCAGCCTACACAAAACAATTATGCAGCGGCTGACACAAACTTATCAATAAATAAGATGTACACAGTGCACTCATGAGGATAACAGGTGTTCTATACATATTATTATCTTAAATTCAATTACTTTCAGAAAGATAGCATATTCTTTCAGATTATTTAATGTATAGCCAAATGACTGAGGGGTATGGAAAAAAATCACAGAGGAATATTTTAAAGAAATGAAATTCTTATAAGTAAAGAACACAACAAAATTGCGGCTTCCTTGGTGGAGCAAGGGGTTAAGTTTCAGCACTATGAAGCTATCCGCAGCCACTGCAGCATGAGTTCAATCCCTGGCCAAGGAGTTACCCACATGGTGCTACAGACCTCTCCTGTCTCCCCTGCTACTCCCCTCAGCAGTATAGTTCAGTGAATCCTCCTGTTCTGCTCCCCAGTCGGTCTCTAGTGAATCCTCTCATGCCACCCCCACCTGTATAGCCCAGTTCTTGTATACATAAATAAATAAATCTTTCAAAAAACCCAAAATTGTATGCATAGGATGTGCTTATTCTGTAAATATATATACACATTCAAATGAATGATTTTAGATATGTTTACATAAAATATTATATATATTATATGGCCTATGATACCAATATATTTTTGAGTCGCGAGATCAAGAATAATTTGTTTTTTTCTTTGTGCCTTTTCTTATCTCCCAAATATTCTATAAGAGCTTGTTTTAATTTTGTAATTTAAAAAACTTAATAAGGGCAACAGGGAATACAATGATGAATATAACAGTGCAGCTGCCTCCAAGCACTCACATGTGGCTCAATTTTTTTTACTTCTGAAAAGTGCAGAAAAGAAAATTGGAAACAGAAGGGCAAAAAAGAAAGCCAAAAGAGGAGCAGAATAGTACATAAAAGTTCCAAATGAACAAATCCTCAAAAGAATAGGTCAAGAGAGAGAAAGGCTGAGAAGGCAATTTCAAAATCCCCTCTCACCCTGATGGCCTACTATGATAAAAAATGTAATGTATGATAAATATGGTATCACAAAATAGAAGGAACAAATAAGATGACAAGGTATTCAGAGGGAAAAATCTAACCAAAACTAATATTACACTTCAAATTAAACTTGAACTCTACAGATCAGAATTTATTGTAAAAGAGAATCAACCCATGAAGAAAATAAGAAAACTTTAGTGACTATCTCTTTAGTCTTTGCATTACAAAGCAGTTTCTAAACTTAAAGCAATAGGGAAAATTACAAAGAAAAACATAAATAGATTTCTATGAAAATGTATATATTATAATGTATACATTATACTTTATGTATCTAAAAAACAAATATGAAAAATTCTAATGGAAATTTAAATAAAAGCAAAACACTAACATCCTATTACATAAATGAACTATAAAAATAAATGGTCAATTCAAAGACAATGGTAAAGCCAAATTTAAAATATAGTTCACCATAAGAAAAAGATATGAATAAAAAAATGAAAGTCATTTTTATTGTATTCCCAAAGTGAAAAAGTCAAAAAATCATAATAATAATGTTGAAATCATACAATTATCTACTGGCAAGATTATGAACTGTCCACTCTTTAGAAAAGCATAGTTTATTAAGCATTTGGTCAAAATTTTTATATTTGTCCATCCAGTAATTCTAAGAGTTGATTAATCCTGGGGAAATAATTGAAAATACATAAACGGAATTATGAAGAAGAAAGTATTAGAACATTATTCTCAATTATTTCAATGGAAATAAACACAAAAGCCCTTTTTTCAGGCAATAGTTAAATAAAATACAATGTATTCAAATAAGAACATTCTGAAAAACCATTGAAATATATTCACAAAAAGTTCTTAATGACTCATCACACTATATTAACAGGGAAAATTTATGATACAGTATCTTACTGTGCCCATTTAATATGATATCTTGATCTCAACATGATAAAAATGACAGAAAAAAAAGGCTAAAAGGAAAGAGTAAACTGTTAATAGCATCTTTCACTAAGTAGAGAGATCACAGGTGATCTTTATTGTCTATTTTATATTTTACTGCAAGTCCAACAAAAATCACATAGTATGTTTGTTTTAAAAGAAAAAGCACTCATGCATAATAACCAGTTTCTGAATTAAGTTGAGGATATGGATTTCTAAGTAATTAGAACTACTTACAAACTGCATTAAACCAACCCATTTACTTACCAATTGAAAAGGCATCACTTAAACATGTGCCCATCCTGCCAGAGCAAATGAAGCTACATAGTGAGGACAGTCTTTCAAAGAGATACCGAGACACAACTAAGGATGGAGAACAAGCAGGAACATGTGCGGAGATTCTTTACAATACATAAGAGAGAAGGTTATGTCCAAAGTTTAATGTAAACCCTCCAAATATGAAAAGAAGCCTCATTATACCCAGAGAAAGCCTGGTAAAGATGCTAGATACAAGGATTAAAGGTCAAATGAGCATATCAGGTATTTCAAGACATAACCACAGAAGGCTGAAGAGTTAGTAAAAAAAGACAGAAAAGGCCTATTTTTTTTACAAGTACAATTAGGCTTTGATCTTTGCTCAATTCTGTTAGTTTTATCATTTATCTTCAAAAGATGGCAACATACAAAAAGTTATGACTATTACATTTCCTCAAACAACACTAAAAAAAAAAGTCACTATGTTAGAAAAAAAAATCAACAAGAAAGGAAAAAAAAAGTATTTCCTGGCAAGATAGAAACTGTGTGTGAAAGATTTGGCTTGCTATCCAATTTCATGAAATATTTCTTGGTTCCTTCTGGTTCATGGACATTAAGTTCCCTAGTAAGATTACTCAGTTCCTTCCCACTTG